GCGATCCTCGCGCTCCCGTTCTCACGAAACTTTTTCTTGCATCCGATTTCTCTTAATTCGAAGAATCCGTTTTTAATCGGTTATTAACTCTCCAAGCCGAATTTTCAAAAATAATATTTTATTATTTTTATAATATATAAATTATTATTATAACAATTTAAAATGGTTATTGGTTTTTGCGTGCCGATTGTTCAACGGAACGGTGAATAATTTTTCGAATTTTAATTTTCTATCCTCCTGTTTGACATATTCGATTCGTTTTCTTTTTTTTTTTTAAGAACGAAATATCGAGAATATTTTCGAATTGTTGAAACTTTTCCTTCTCGAAATCGGTGGTTCGGAAGCGTCGCCTCGCCCGAGTTCACGCGCGAGTGTAGAGGGACAATTGGCCGGAGGAACGAAACGGGAACGAAGGAGCGAGGTCCGCGAGGAGAAAAGTCGACGGCCAATCGAAAGGCAGACCACAATGAACGATTACATCACGCCGGCGACCGCAGCCACTTTGGAACCCGTCGAACGAGTTTCTTCTTCGCTCGCTCGTTTTGACCCACCTGCGACGACGGATCCGAACCGGCAGACACGCCTCCCTTAAAAGACAACAATCGCGGTAGCCGGTACTTAGAGGAATCAACCGAGAAACTCGAACGATCGACACCTTTCCGCCCGCTTCCTATCCGCCGTCTTGTAACTCGAGAATTGCACCGATTCCACCACGAGTTTCCGCTTAGATTTAAGAAATTTTTACCGTCTCTTTCTTTCTTCTAATTTCTTTAAATATTTATTCCATACTTTTTTCGTTTTCGTTCCAGCCTTATGTCGTCGTATACCATTTTTGTAGCATCGTTTGATTTTTCTTTTTTTCTTTTTTATTATATATAATAATATTTAATAATTTTTTTATATATATAATAATATTTATTCAACGTTTTTTCGTTGTACGTCACGATCTAATGTTTTCGACACGCGTGATTCGATTCTTGAATTTTTTTAAAATATTTATGTGGTATTAATTATATATATATATATATATAATTAATAAAATAAACGACTACGAAATACCAATTAAAAAATATATATATATAATATATCGTTTATTTTATTAATTTTTTTTACCATCAATTTTTTAAGCGTTAAACGTTACTTATTAAAAATTATCGCACTAACATTTTATTTTTCTTATATCGTATGCTTATATATAACATAAGGTCGATACGAGACGTAATACAACGAATGCGTACCGCGGCATAAGAAACGTCAACACTCGAATGTTATTGAAATATCGATTCGACAAAGTCGCTTTCCGGCCACGGTACGGGACGGACGTGTTTCTCTTTGCTCCGCGTATATTATATCGCGTAATTTTAAGCGAATTAAAATCACGTTGCGAACAAATATCGCGTAATTACGAACAAATTAAACGAGCGTTGTAAAGAAACTTGTAAATAGTAATAGCTCCATCGATATAGTAATTTTTAACGCTTTTTTTTAACGATAAAGATCGAACACGAGGAACACTTTTATATACCTTTAATACGAAGCGATACATATCTTCAAGTACAACACGCGTGTTTATCGCGTTTTGTTTCCCTAAAGAGTATCGAGAGAAAGAAGTATATTTATCTCGAATATTCTACGTTATGAATAACGTGTGATTTTCATTTTTTGCTTGATCGCGAATTTATAAGAATCGAAAGGGAATTAAAGAAGGAGAAAGAAAGAAAGAAAGAAAGAACAATAAGTGGAAAAATTACTAATAAAAATTACTAAACGTTATTAATCGATCGATGTTGATTTGTCGAGCAGCAGGTGGATGGTTGCGGGGAAGGCCGACCCGGAAATGCCGAAGAGGATGTACATCCACCCGGATTCGCCGAGCAGCGGTGAGCAATGGATGCAGAAGGTCGTGAGCTTCCACAAGCTCAAACTCACTAACAACATCAGCGACAAGCACGGCTTTGTAAGTACTGTACGTAACGCCAACCAAACAATTACTTACTTACTAGCCTCTAAGTTGGAGCTCCGAGTCTCGCAATTAATTCGCTAACGTTTTGCCCGGCTCACGACCTAACGATCGGCTCGATTAAAAGCTCGTTAGGCCGCGTGCACGACGATGACCACTTCTTGGTGTGCTTGTCTCGCGAATTTTTCCCCCAAATTTATTTGAAAAGATAAAAAAAGAAAGAAATTTGACTCGAAGGGATTCTCTTAGAAATAATAGATGGTTGTAATTCGAAAGGAAGAATTTGAGAAACTTTAACTAGAAAATTATTCTCACGTGTGATTTTCAAAAAAGGAATAGGAAATTATTTATTTATTATATAAATTCTCGTTTGGATCTTCTTAGAATTTCGCTCTATGCGATTAATATCCAAATATCTCCTCCAATCCAGAAATCTTCATCCCCTAAAATTCCTTCCAAACAATATCCAAAACAAAATCGCTCCGATCTCAAACGAGAAATTAATATACGGTATTTTTCAAATCTTCGTTTAATTATTCGTCTTCGTCGTCTAAACGATTCCAGAAGAAAATCTTACAATCTCCATTCAACCAACGAAGAAAGAAGAATAAGAAATACTTTAGTTTCAATTTTTCCTTTCAATAATCTTCGTCCAAACGAGAAATTAATCCAGAAACGTATCAATCCCATTTTCAAATCTTTAATTATTCATTTTCGTCTAAATTTATTCCAAAACAAAATCACGATAAGGTTTAACCAACTTACAACGAAGAAAAAAGAAAAAAGAGAATTAGAGAAACATACGTGCTTAAATTATCCTTTCAACAAACCCTCGTTCAAATGATAAATTAATCCAGTACCTATCTATCATTTTCAAATCTTTAATTATTCATCTTCGTCTAAATTTATTCCAAAACAAAATCGCGATAAAGTTTATCCAATTCTTACAACGAAGAAAAAAGAACGAGAAACAGAGAAACATACGATTATTATTTTTATTCCAGCGGATATATTCGAATTTTCAAGATTTCGTTTATCGTCCCAAACGAGAAACTAAGCCAGAAACATACCCCATTTTCAAAT